GACGATTAACTATCGGCGAGTTTGAAGACTCTGAATAATGAACAAATGTTTCCGGTGTCGACCAGTCTTCTCTTTTACTTTTGCACATACATGGAACGCGAACCTTCACATTTAATCGTAAAAAAGTCCCGTCGACCAAGTGGAGGAGCAATGTACTTGTCCGAGCCTTCGGTCCCCCGCAGCGACTCACCACAAAGCATAACAAAGTAGTAGTAACAACTAGGAACGTTGTCGAGATTAGAGCCGTCTACATCTCAATTTGATGTTGATGAGGCTGCTCCAGTGAGTATATACGTGTGATTGGAGTCTTACGAAGGCCAGGTTGACTTAGGTTCCACGTAAAAGGGTGTGGCCATGACTGCGAGGTGTTCGTGACTTTTGGCAACGCGGATTCAGTATACCCGGCCTCTGACGCATGCAAACCGTACTTCTATGCTCAGGATTTACTGCATATTTGTTTCAGTTGCGGTGTGCAAGGAGCAACCTTCAGTGAAGATGAGGTCAGTTACCCTGGCTTTGGAGACTTTCGTGATGACGTGCGTACGGTGAATGGTTAGCAGGTGAGTAATTCATGTCAATTTCTGACTTTGCTCACGATGGGCCCTTCTTGGCGCCGAAGTGTCCAGGGTTGAATTGAAGTCGAGCAAATAATTGGACAAAAATACTGAAAAAAAGATATGTCGCGCTGACTGCCACAGATTTCTCAGATGGATGTGCGCATGTTAAGGTGCACAATGGCAGTGGTGGTGAAGGGGCACTCACCGATCGTGTGAAGGGGCTTACTCTCGAGTCCCACCAGCACTCGTATAAAGTCTATTAGTATAGGCAGAGTTCGAAAGTCCTTTTTAGACGAGGTCCACGGTGTGCTCCACAGGATGGTGATACAGGGACGGTAACTTACGCGTTGATTAGTTTAAATTGATAGAAGCCTTGCACTGCATCTACCATACTTCTTCACTCACCTGTGCCCGGTGTCCAGACAGAGCCAAGCAGACTGGAATCGGACACAGGTGGCTGGTACGACGACAGCCTACACCTACCCATGCCTCTTCGCCTCTTTGCTACTGGAGCACAACCCGAATAACACCTGCCATGCCCTGATATGGCCCCGTGTTGGTCCAGCGAATCTACCACGCGACTCGTTTAGGGGGCAAAGCAATAATGTAAACAAAGACTACGGAGAACTGAATGGCAATTTCTGATTTATTGGTCGTCATCAGTCAGGCATACCCAGTCACAAAGTTTTTTTTAACTCCGGAGTCTCGAACTCACGATCTGTTGGCTGGCGGATGACAGCTAATAAATCCGAAATTATCATTCCAATCTCCCTTGTCAGTATGCACAGTGTAAGTTTTGTGGAATTTAAACCTATCCTTCCAATTTCCGAGACCAGTTTGGCCAGAAGTTTTAAAAATTCGATTGGCATTGAATCGGTGCCGCGTTGAACCGATCGTTTTAGATGA